TTTGCCTTTGTCTCCCTGTAATCACAGCCTCCAGTTACTTGCTTTAAGGAGTCCCTGGGGAGGCTTTGCCAGTAACAGCCCTCAGTGGGGCCCATTAATGCTGAAGGCACTTGGGGCTTTGTTTCTGACTTGGACTTCTTGAGAGGTTTCCTCAGTCTCCTCTCAGCCCCTGAGGTTCAGGTACTCAGCCCAAATACACCGCGGGGCTCATTAAAACCTCTGCGTTTTGTCAAGTCTTTCAGGTTGCACAGCACATTGGAGGTTTCTGGGTGCAGGAAGATTGCAAAGAACAACTGATAAAAGTTCTTGTCAAGTGTTTGTTTTCATACTTTTAAGTTTAGAAATTTCTGTGCCTTCTGGAATGCCCGGCACAGGGATCACAAGAACCTGCCAGGGCCCGGCCGCCTTCCGCAATGCCTGGTGAGCTTCCGTGATCCTTGCCAGAGCCAGGAAGGTCCCCTTGTGCTCAGCTCCCAGAGACAGCACCAGCAGCTGCAGTGCCCAGGGGCTGCTCCTGCCCTGACACCTTCTCAGCACCTCTGACACCAGCAGCTCCTGCACACAGAAGGTTCCTGCTTTGCCCCCAGCACCTCTGCAGGCAGAACTGAGATCCAAGCACATGAACAAGCCCAGTGCCTCCTCCTCACCCATCCATCCCCTGCTCCTACAGCTGGGATGGCACCAGCACAGCTCCTGACAGCTTCTCCTCCCTTCCCAGCACGCACCCACAATGTGTTTGAGGCCAACACTAAAACAGGATTGCAAAGTCAAAGAACACGGACCTGGATGCGCAGGGCAGCCACGACAGATGCAGCCTCCCGAGGGAGGAGTCTGGTTACTGTAGGGCTCTGGCTCCTTAAATGGCCCACGCTCACCGTGGGGGCTCCATCACAATGGGTGTCTCCACAGATACCACCACACCTTTGTGATGGCTGGAGAGTATCGAACTCTGTCTGGGGACAGGTGAGCAGCCAACAGAGAGTTTGTGGGTCAGGGTTAAAGGGAATATAGCTCTGGGAGACATTACTGTGGGGATCTCTTACAGACACCTGATCAAGGAGAACCTGTGGATGAAGCACTCTATAGACGGATAGGAACAGCCTCACGCTCACAGGCCCTTGTTCTCATGGGTGACTTCAACCACCCTGACATCTGTTGGAAGGAGGGTATGGCCCAGCACAAGCAATCCAGGAGGTTCCTCGATTGTGTAGAAGACAACTTCCTTCTGCAAGAAATAGAAGAACCGACAAGGAGAGGTGCCGTGCTTGACCTTGTACTCACCAACAGGGAAGGGCTCGTAGGAAATGTGATGCTCCAGGGCAGCCTTTGATGCAGCGATCACGAGATGCTCGAATTTGAGATCCTCAGGACTGTGAGGAGACCGTGCAGCAAGCTCACTGCCCTGGACTTCAAAAGAGCAGACTTTGGCCTCTTCAGGAGCCTGCTTAGGAAGGTTCCATGGGATCCAGCCCTAGAGGGCAGAGGGGCCCAAGACTGTTGGTTGATATGCAAGGATCACCTGCTACAAGCTCAGGAGTGTTGCATCCCAACCAGAAGGAAGTGCAGCAGGAGGGCCAGGAGACCTCCTTGTTTCAATAAGGAGTTCCTGAGGAAAATTCAAATGAAAAAAGAGGCTTCTAAAAGGTGGAAGCAAAGACAGGCATCCTGGGAACAATACAGGGATGTTGACCGGGGATCTAGGGACCAGGTTAGGAAAGCTAAGGCCCAGTTAGAATTCAACTTGGCTAAGGATGTTAAGGATAACAGGAAGGGATTCTACAGGTACATCGCAAATAAGAAACAGACTAGGGTAAAAGTAGGTCCCCTCAGAAAGCTCTCAGGAGAACTGGCTCCACAGGATTTGGAGAAGGCTGAGGTTCCCAATGACTTCTTTGCCTCGGTCTTCACTGGCAAAGGCTCTGACCACACCACCCAAATCTTGGAAGGCAGATGCAGGGACTGTGAGAATGAAGACCTTGCGCCCACTGTAGGAGAGGAACTGGTTCGAGACCATCTTAAAAATCTGAACGTGCACGTGTCCATGGGTACCGATGTAATCCATCCACGGGTCCTGAAGGAGCTGGGGAATGAAGTTTCGAAGCCACTGGCCATCATATTTGAGAAATCCTGGCAGTCAGGTGAAGTTCCCCATGACTGGAAAAAGGGAAATATAACCCCCATTTTCAAGAAGGGGAAAATGGATGACCTGGGGAATTACAGAGCAGTCAGTCTCACCTCTGTGCCTGGCAAAATCTTGGAGCAGATTCTCCTGGAATGCATGCTAAGGGACATGAATATCAACAAGGTGCTTGGTGACAGCCAGCATGGCTTCACTGAGGGGAAATCCTGCCTGAGCAATGTGGTGGCCTTCTATGATGGGGCTACAGAACTGATGGTCAGGGGTAGAGCAGTTGATGGCATCTACCTGGACTTGTGCAAAGCATTCGACACTGTCCCACACAACATCCTTGTCTCTAAATTGGAGAGACATCGATTTGATGGATGGACCACTGGGTGGATAAAGAACTGGCTGGATGGCCACATGCAAAGCGTTGTGGTCAATGGCTCAATGTCCGGCTGGAGACCAGTAACGAGTGGTGTCCCTCAGGGATCGGTGCTGGGACCGGTCTTGTTCAACATCTTTGTCGCTGACATGGACAGTGGGATTTAGTGCGCCCTCAAGAATTTTGCTGATGACACCAAGCTGTGTGGTTCGGTTGATACCCTGGAGGGAAGGAATGCCATCCAGAGGGACCTCGACATGCTTGCGAGGTGGGCTGATGGCAACCCCATGAAGTTTAACCATGCCAAGTGCAAGGTCCTACACCTGGGTCAGAGCAATCCCAGGCACAGCTACAGGTTGGGCAGAGAAGAGATTCAGAGCAGCCCTGCAGAGAAGGACTTGGGGTGTTGGTAGATGAGAAAATGAACATGAGCCGGCTTCAGTGTGTGCTCACAGACCAGAAACCAACCGTATCCTGGGCTGCATTAAAAGGAGCGTGACCAGCAGGTCGAAGGAGGTGATCCTGCCCCTCTACTCTGCTCTTGTGAGACCTCACCTGGAGTATTGTGTGCAGTTCTGGTGTCCTCAACATAAAAAGGACATGGAACTGTTGGAACAAGTCCAGAGGAGGCCACGAGGATGATCAGGGACTGGAGCACCTCCTGTATGAAGGCAGGCTGAGGAAGTTGTAGCTGTTCAGCCTGGAGAAGAGAAGGCTGCGTGGAGACCTCAGAGCAGCTTCCAGTATCTGAAGGGGGCCTATAGGGATGCTGGGGAGGGACTCTTCATTAGGGACTGTATTGATAGGACAAGGGGTAACGGGGTAAAACTTAAACAGGGGAAGTTTAGATTGGATATAAGGAAGAAATTCTTTCCTGTTAGGGTGGCGAGGCCCTGGAATGGGTTGCTCAGGGAGGTTGTGAATGCTCCATCCCTGGCACTGTTCAAGGCCAGTATGAATGAAGCCTTGGGGGATACGGTGTAGTGTGAGGTGTCCCTGCCCATGGCAGGGGGGTTGGAACTAGATGATCTTAAAGTCCTTTCCGATCATAACTATTCTGTGATTCTATGATTCTATGAACTTGCCTGATGATTTGTAGTCTTGGCTGAACTTGGCCCAGGTCTCCGTTCCCGCCTTACTGCTCTTGCTCAGGTACTGTGGGATGGTCCCTGCACACCATGATGTTCCCCTCTGGCTCTGTTTAAAGAGATTAAAGAGATAAACCTCTGTAGTACTGGCCAGGTTTCTGCAAATTAGAACCTTTCTCTGGCTGCACCCAACAGCCCTGCCAGTGCTCACTGCTCTGGCAGTCACTCTCCATTCAGACCTTGTCCCTGCATGGGCAAATTAAGAGATAGTCTTCTCAGTGAGGCAAATGAGTAAGCAACTGAACATTCTATTCAATGTTATTCTCTGGTCATTAGTATCTCCTCCATTTCAAAATATATTAGAATTATGGTCTTTAGTAGATGAGCAGCACTTTTGTTTGGAAATGGGTTTCAAGTCTTAGTAAAGACTCTTTAATCTTTCCAGCTTCAATGTTTCTTTGCTTTGAAGATGATGAGGTGCCATCTCTAAGAAATGCTTTTTCTCAGTAACTTCAGAGCAGTTTCTGATCTTGTTCTAGTCTGTCTCCCAGAAGACAGGCCATCTCAAAGGTTGAGGAATTAACAGCTCCAGATGTTTAACTTGTGAAATCACTAAAGAAATTCTTCAGTTACATCTGAAGGGGAGAGAAAACAAGATTGCCATAGGTGATGTGCCCAGTGAGGCTGCTGGCATCGTATCCCAACCATCTAAGATAGAAAGTAATAACCGCTAAAGACAGGAGTCTCTAGTTGATGCAGCCAAACATTGACACCCAACACCCTGTAGAACTGAACAGGGAGAGTTGGAGAATTTACTTCTCTGAAGCTCTGATTTATAAAGCAAGCCAGGAGGTGAGAAAATCAGTTTTTTCTCAAGATAGAGATGATTCTGTGCAGTACAGTCATGCAGATCCATACATTGAGTCCAAGTCTGTGTGTGTCACTTGTAATACCAGTTTTACACATTTTATTTGTATTCCTCTGCCACACACATATATATTTACACACATACACATATTACGCATATTGGAGCTGAGGGACAAGGTCAAGAATCTTGCAAGAAAAGCGGATATTTATCAGTGACAAAAGTGAGAATTGAATAAAGCTGATGGGTGTTTCCTGTGAGGAAAAAGAAGCCTGGGATAATTCAAGGTAACTGACTTCTGTGTAGGAACTGTGAAAGAAGATGTATAAAGTCATGAGGATTAGAGGAAAATCCCATTAGTTTAGACCTTCTTACTTGATGTAGAGTATTCATGTCCTGCATGACACAAGTCTTGTATGTTGCCAGCGGTTGAGCAACCTCCTCACACACTTCAGCAAAGCCCCCTTCACCTCCTTATTCCTCAGGCTGTAGATGAATGGGTTGAGCATGGGGGTGACCACGGTGTAAAAGACAAGAGGCCACCTTATCCAGGCTCCTATGGCTAGAAGAAGGTTGTAGGTACATGAAGAATCCTGTCCCAAAGTACATGGAAACAGCCTTCAAATGGGAGGCACAGGTGTGGAAGCCTCTGGCCCTGCTCTGTGCTGAGCACATCTTCAGCAGGGTGCGGATGATAGAGATGTAGGAGAGCAAAATGACCACACTTGTGCCCATGATGCTGATGGTGACGAAGGCAAAGATGAGCATCTTGCTGCTGTGGGTGTCAGAGCACAGGAACTTTACTACAGGAACTTTGTCACAGAAGAAGTGGTTAATGCGGTTGGGGCCACAGAAGGAACCTCCAAACACGCACCATGTGTAGACAATGGCACTGAGGAAGGCAAATAGGTAGGATGATGCTACCAGCTGCCAGCAGATGCGTCTGGAGATGATGGTCACATAAAGTAGGGGCTGGCAGATAGCAACGTGCTGACATGGGCATGGACATGGCATGTGGGTGCTTATTTCCAGCTTATTTCCATTTATCTCACCATTTAAGTAAATAGGACTTAAGATGAATGTACAACACCCCTTAATTCTGAATCTGATGAGCCCTTGATGTGCCCAAATACTCCTTACCACTGGGTGGTCTCAGCACAGTTCATCATTCTCAGTTATGAATTCCATTGCTTACAATTCCCTTCTTTGAAGTGAAATCTCTTGCGAAGCTGCAGCCTGGGGAGGGATTCCCCCTGATATTCAAAGCTGAAGCCTGGGGAGGGATTCCCCCTGATATTCAAAGCTGGAGCTTGAGACCTTGATTCCCACCAGCTTCTTCTCTTTGAATGGCACAAACAAATGCAATGAATCTTTTGAAACCTTTTCTCTGACTCTTTTTCAGCAAACAAATGTAAAACTACACTTCCTCTTCCCTCCCAACCCAGCAGCTTTAATAAAGAACTCACAGGTAAGAGGGAGGAAATTTCTAAGAGCTGAGGAACAAGATCCAGAATCTTGCAAGAAAAAGAAATCTTTACCAGTGACAGAAGTTATGACTGAGTAAAGCTGATTGGTGTTTCCTGTGAGGAAAAGAGGCCTGGGATAATTCAGGGCAATTTCTTCATATAGGCTGGTGACTGCGAAGTGAAATGAAGTTTGAGGTTCCTCTCCTCTTGGTTTACTTCCAAGAAAGAAAGAAGTGATTTGTGGGGTTCATTTCTCATTAAATACTGTAATTGACTTTTGTGCATGTACCTTGGAAGAAACTACATAAAATCATGAGGATTAGAGGAAAATACCAATGTTTCAGTGCCCCATAGTCTTTCTCAAATCACATGAAATCTTCATGTCCGGGATGATACTACTCTTCTATGTTGCCAGCCGTTGAAAAGCCTTCCCCCACACTTCACCAGAGCCCCCTTCACCTCCTTGTTCCTCAGGCTGTAGATGAATGGGTTGAGCATGGGGGTGACCACGGCGTAGAAGATGGAGGCCACCTTATCCAGGCTCCTGTGGCTAGAAGAAGGTTGTAGGTACATGAAGAATGCTGACCCAAAGTATATGGACACAGCCGTCCAATGGGAGGCACAGGTGTGGAAGACTCTGGCCCTGCTCTGTGCTGAGCACATCCTCAGCACGGTGCAGAGGATAGAGATGTAGGAGAGCAAAATGACCACACTTGTGCCCACCACATTGATGGTGACGAAGGCAAAGATGACTCTCTCACTGTTGTGCATGTCGGAGCACACGAGCTTTAGCACAGGGACGACGTCGCAGAAGAAGTGGTCAATGCGGTTGAGACCACAGAAGGAACCTCCAAACACGCACCATGTGAAGATGATGGCACTGGGGAAGGCAAATAGGTAGGATGATGCTACCAGCTGCCAGCAGACACGGCTGGAGATGATGGTCACATAAAGCAGGGGCTGGCAGATAGCAACGTGCCGGTCATAGGCCATCATGGCCAGGAGGTGGCACTCACTAATAGCAAAGAAAGCGAACATGAGGAACTGCATCATGCAGCCAAGAAAAGAAATGGTTTTGTCCTCTGATAACAGGTCTGCCAGCAGCCTGGGGGAGATGACTGTGGAATAGCAGATGTCAGTGAAGGCAAAATGGGTGAGGAAGAAGTACATGGGGGTGTGGAGGCTGGGAGACACCCGAACCAAGATGATAATGCCAAAGTTCCCCACCAGAGTGACAATGTAAATCAACAGAAACAACACAAACAGAGGGGTCTGCGCAAGAGGGCTGTCTGTAATTCCCAACAGGATGAATTCAGTCTGGGTGTGATTTCCTTCCATGACCTGGTGCTACCTGCTGAGGCAAAAGGAAGAGAAACATAACAGTTTTTAGAAGTGGAGATTCATTTTTGGACCATATTTGACTCCAATCAATCACGTTTTTAAGTGCCACATTTTGGTTGAATTCATATATTATGCTATCTTTTTAACCAAAATCATATGGTTTTTTGGTCTTCACTTAGTGTATTTATAAAGGAACAGGAAGCACACTGAAGCAACAAATGACATTTTTGGTTTTCTATACTGGAACACTTAAAACGATGGATTTATTTAGGCACTTTTGGACCATATTGTAATTCAAACAATGACGGGTTTAACTGCTACATTACTGTATATTCCACTATATTTTCTAACTCAAATTATATATATTTTATGTTATACAGTTGAGGTATCTTGAACTGGGACCGCATTCTAGGAACAAACAGTATTTTCAATGCTAGGACTCCTAAAACTATGGATTTATTCAAGCGCGTGTGTTTTCAGACTAAAGAAAAGAATCAGATCTTTCTTCACTTTCACTCTTCAGTTTTCAGAGTTAATTTGGTCAGAAGACACCTGAAAACCTCATAGTAGCGCATGTAATCCAGGGGATAGAAAGTCCCAGTCCCAGTGAAATCCAGCTTACACGTGAATGAACTGCACGCATTTTCCCTTGCCTTTTAGATATCATTCCAGTCACCAAATCACATTTATCAAACTATTTGACTTTATTCATAACAGATAAAATTCACATGATTTATACCTCTCTGAGCTCCAGCACAATGAAGCATCCTAAACCTATGAGCATTAAGTTGCTTGCATTAAAAAGGAGTGGATGTTACAATGTGCTGATTTGTTACTGACTCTATTAGTCAGTGACTATATTCTGCTGACAATCTGCAATGTTGCATTTCTTTATAACAAAATAAGATTCATCCTCATTTAACTCCTGAATAAATCAGTGCATCTTGCTTTAGCAGCCTCTGTAAAAGAAACACAACCTGCATCAGACATTGCTCCCTCTTATTATAAAAAGAACCCACATTGATAAGGCTGTTTTCTGACACAGCTTTCCCAAAGAGGACCTGAGGACATGAAGAAACAATGAAGGTGAGGCTCTGCTTTGTGTTGATGTTACCTCCTGTGACTTCCTTCTGCCACCGAGTGATGGGAGCCATGGGTTAATCCCCAAAGCAGCAGAGAACATCTACGTGCCGGCATCAGCTCTGTTAAGCACCCGATGTGAAGAGAGGGGAACTCCTTCAGACTCCAAGAGCCCAGCTTGTGGTGCTGGGGCTGTAAATACAGTTGCATGTGCTCTGCTGGGAGGAAGCCTCCAGGGTGCTCATGACTTACCTGAGGAAAACAAAGAGAAGCAAAAAGCAAAGGGTATGAAATCACCTCTGAAAGGCATTGTGGTGCTTGGGAATCTGAGAGTCATGGAGTGAATGAGCCAAGCCAGAGCACAGCTACACAGCAGCAGTGCTGAGCAGCTCATAGGATGCTTCTGGCATACTTGTGGACTATGCAAAGGTTTTGGTCTCACCTTGGCAACAGAATGAGGAGGGATTTAGAGACATTCCTGATCTTGCAGAGGGTCCCTAAATACAACACGAAGAGCAAGTGACTCCTTCTCTGGAGCTGCTGCTGTCCCTCTGTGCACACTTGCGTGCCCAGTTTTCCAGCCCCAATAGGATTATCCACATGTACTGCCTGGATGTCCAACACCTGAGCTGGTGCTTTAGGGCTTCCACTGTATTGAAGGGTGAGAAATGGGCATTTGAAGCAGTGATGAATTGTCCCAGGGTGAGCTAATAGGCCTTTATTCACCTGAGCAGCCTCAGCTGGGGCTTCATCCCTACCCTCCACCCATTTACCCTTCATCTCTATTTAAGCTCAGCCCAAGGTGGTTGCACTATGCTTGAGAAATTCTGGTTTCCAGTTTAGCATTAGCTGTGCCCATCTATGGAATCCGTTGATGGTGATCTGAGGTTGCTTGTGGACTTCCCTAGCAATTGTTGGACCTAAACCTGACCAGGGGATTGACTTGACCTGTGTTGCTTGGTTTTGGACGTGCTTCATAGTCTCCAACTCGCTTGATGCTCTGGAATCTTGGCTCAACTTGGCCTAGGTCTCTGTTCCTGCTCTACTTTTCCTGCTCAGGTACCATGGGATGGTCCCTGCACACAGTGGTGTTCTCCTTCGGTTCAATTTAGATAGATTAAGGAGACAAACCCCTGTGGCACTCCCCATGTTCCTGCAGAGTAGAACCCATTACCCTCTGCACCCAACAGCCCAGCCACTGTTCACTGCTCTGGCAGTCCCTCTCCATCCAGACCATATCCCTGCATGGGCACAATAGGAGATAGTCTATTCAGTGAGGGAATTAGAGTGATCAATTGAACTTTATACTGGAGTGTTATTCTGCGGTCAATAGTATCACCTCCATTTTCCAAATATAATTGTAGAATAATGCTTTTGAGTAGGTGGGTAACACTGTGGTTTGGTAATGGGTTTCCAGTCTTAGTAAAAGCTCTTTGCAAACATCTCCTTGCTTAGTGGTAATGGTTATACTGGGACAAATATAAACATGTACAGAAGAAATGTCTAATATGTATTTACCCCCTCTCCTGACACAATCCTTTTTGGGGATGTATTTTATCCTATTTAAGAGATCAGCATAGACAATTTCAATAGGATATGCTCTATTTGTCTGTATTGTTGCCTTTCTAGTTCCCCTCAGCAATGACAAGGTGCAGGTTCTGTCTTTGAATGATTTCCTTGGAGAAAGGAACAAGAGGTAAGCACAATAATAGCTCAGCCTGAAAGAGGCTGGGTCTTCAACAGGAAACCAGAAGTGGCATCTCAGGTACTGTTTTGGGGGATGGTGGTGGAACTAGTTTTAAACTCCTCTCAAATGTCTGTGTTTGAGACACATGGTTATGTTATAAATCCTTTCTAAAAGGAAGTTTTACTTCCTGACCTTAATCTGACATGAAATCAGTTGCTTGGAAGTATTTGCTGTTTGCTTAAAATGTAATTTGAATGATAGAAATTAAAGGGGAAAGCACATTTTTAACAAGTCACCAGTGAAGCTGGAAGAGAAGGAAAGATAAATTCATATGCCCGTCTGTCTCTTCTATGTATTTATTCTTATGAGATGAGAGCAGTTATTGAGATGCAGTTTAGCCCCAAAGTAGCCACTAACCTTGTTATTAATCAGTTGTTTTTAATGAAAACCAACATATTGCTTTTATTTCTGAGCACTTAGACTAAGGGGCAACAAATGCAGATGCTGAGCTACCTGGGGTAATGAAAAGAGTCTCTGGGACATCTTCAACCTGAAAAGCAGCATGAAAGTTAATATTCCTTTACTCTGTATTATCAGAGCAGTCAACATGAGCTGCTCTTCCCTTAATGTGGAGAAAACTGCAGGCAGATGGAAACATAGTGAAGACCACGGTGATGTCCAAGGGAAAACTTGTTTTGTTAGCTTCAGACTTCCTTTGAAATCGGTGTGTGAAGATAGAAGATACATTCAAAGCTTGGTTTAAGAGCCTGAGTGGTAGATGTAGCCAGTGACTCCCTGCATGGGCAGGTGTCCTGGGTTCAGCAGTAGCAGTCATGTTTCTCCTTCTTGGTAGCTGGTGCAGTGCAGTGTTTTGACTTTCGGCTCGGGAGCAGAGCTGATAGCGATGTTTTGGTTTGGCCAAGGACTTTGTGAGCCTCATGCTCTGCCAGGGAGGAGGGGAAGCCGGGAGGAAGCAGAGACAGGACACCTGACCCAAACTGACCAAAGAGCTATTCCATACCACAGCACGTCATGCCCAGGATGTAACGGGGAGTTAGCCGGAAGGGCTGGGAGACTGCAGGGTTGGAGGAGGTATGGGTCGGTGCTTGGTCGGGCCTGGGGGGTGAGTTATCGGTTGGCTGGTGGTGAGGTGTTGTATTCTCTTCCCTTGTTATTTCCTTCATCATTATTATCATTGGTGGTAGCAGCAGTGATTTGTGTTATACCTTAGTTACTAAACTGTTCTTATCTCAACCCGTGGGAGTTGCATTCTTTTCGATTCTCCTCTCCATCCCTCTGGGAGCAGGGGGAGGGAAAGAAGTGGGGGGAAGTGAGCGAACAAGCTGCCTGACTGGTATAAACCACGACAGAGGGTGGTTGTGGACCATCTAAGCATCCTGCCAAGGTGCCTGGTTGGTTTTCATTAGAGAATGTCTTCATTATCTACAGAGTACAGGATTAAACCCCACTAATAGTTAAGCAAGGGATTAAGCCATCATAACCAAGCCCATGGAAACCACCCTGCTGCCTGGGAACTGGGAGCCTCTTGGACACTGATGGCCTGGGAAAACTGGACTATGGTGACAGAGTTTGTTTTCAAGGGGTTCACAGATTGCCTCGACTTCCAGGTTACCCTCTTTGTGCTTTTCCTGCTCATCTATGTCACCACTGTGATAGGAAACCCTGGCATCATTGCTGCAGTCTGGCTCGATTCCCAGCTTCAGAGCCCCATGTACTTCTTCCTCAGCCACTTGTCCTTCTTGGATCTGTGCTACTCCTCCGCGGTGACACCCAAAATGCTGCTGAACCTCTTGTCTGAAAGGAAGACTATTTCTTTTGCTGGCTGCTTCCTACAGCTCTATTTCTATGCTGCTTTTGCAATCACAGAGTGCTACCTCCTGGCTGAGATGGCATATGACCGCTATGTTGGCATCTGCAACCCCTTGCCTTACCCCATCCTCATGTCCAAGAAGGTCTGTGTTTCCCTCTTAGCTGGGTCCGATGCAGTTGGGCTTTTTAGTTCAGCCATCTTCACAGGCTTTGCATTGAGGGTGTCCTTCTGTGGCCCCAATGTCATTGACCACTTCTCCATGTGATCTATGGACTTAAGGTGAATTTCAGTGCTTCCAGGTAAACCCCATGACAGATGGGAGCATGCAGGAGAACACACAGAGCAGACCAAGGAAGCTTGGAGGAGAGAGGAGGAAGGAAAGTTCCCTAAAGCTGCAGGAAACAGGGAAGTTTGAGAGGAACTTCCTGGAATCTTCTTCCCTAATCACAGACCAATCAACGACCCATCAAAGAATGTTCAAAGGTATTTGAAAATTTCCCTGCTGCACTTTAATCCTTCAAAGTGCTTTTCATAGTGAAGAAATACTTCAAAAGATTTTGGTAATATACAGCGTAAAGGATTGGACAGTGATGGTTCCTAAATGTACTGTTGAGTGGGATTGTTCAGTACATATAGTCAAACTTAATGTACAGTAAAGCCATGCTGCATTAGTTGCAATAAAACTCTTATTTCTACTTTTATTCTCTCTTTTTGCTCTAGGCATGTAGTTCTCTGTATCCACAAGACCATTAGTTGTGGGATTTAACTGGCCAAAAGTGGAGTTCAATAAGCAGACATTACATCTGATCTCAGTCTCCCTCCTTAGAAGGAACTAAAGACCTTGCCAAATCATCATGGGAAATGGCTCAAGTGAATGATGGTTCATAATGATATAATGAAGATATCAGTTGCATATAGAACACGTATCATGATTCTGCCGTATTTAACTTCAGGACATCTGATTTTCAGGTGGATAAGGCCCACCCAGCCTATGAGTCATGGCACCTCCTTATGTCAGATTTCAGTTCTGTATAACTTCAATGTATTTTTTATTTGAAACTCACCCTTTCCATTACCCCCATTACCACCTTCATTATAAGAGGAAAATTAATAGGCTCAAAACATCCTTAGACACAACAGAGCTGATACAAGATGAGGAATTTAGTGATAAACACTTTGAAGGTTTATACCTAATAAACTGATGACTGTCTACCTGCTTTCTACAAGTTGTTTTTCCTCCTTGTCATGCTGTTGTAAGAAGCAAAATAAGTTTATTCTGGCAATAACTGGAATATGTGTTTTTATTCACCTTTTCAGGGAAAGGGAGCGTGTTTTGAGCTGTGCCTGAAGGATTGGTGATATAGTGGGAACAAACAGGAATCGCTGGTGAAAGTGTTGGCACAGAAACTCCTCAAATATAAACCCTGCTGTTAAAACATTGCCATTTGTAGAAGCTAAACCCAACCAGGGGTCAACACAGCTGTCTGCATTGCTCTTCTCCATCCATATTTGGGTTTGTTGGTGCAGGTTGTTGCTGGTTGTGCTGGTGACATTGATGGTTTCCTCCAGAAGCTCATGGGTTCCAGTGAGTCCTGCAGCATTTCTCAGCCATTCCTTTGGCCAACTGAATGGCACCACTGGAGTTCACAGACTTGAAGATAACCTGGGACACCTATAGCTCATGTGTTGGTCTGTATGTCACGCTGATGGGGAGCAAGGTGAGCCCAAACCCATCTCATTTGTCCATCTCTCAGCCAGTCCTCTAGGCTCTCAGTGATACAAATCAGTAGCTCAGTGACAGTCTCCCCAGGAAAGTGGTGGATTCCCTAACATTGGACAGTAGCCTTTCAGGCTCATTTAGTGATTGGAGGTTTGGGTCAGCCTTCATCTTCTATAATACCACCTGTCTTCTCCAGGCATCCATTCAGAGGTAATTACCTAAGCGGCTTGCAGCAAGTGTTTAAGATAATTGACATAGACTGCCCTTTGGTTGCACCTTCTCACCTGCCCCTTGATTCTTCAAAAGGACTTGTGAAGAACACTTTGTGCTTGTTTGGATCTCTGCTTTTCCTGTCCCTGGAGGCTGCTGAATGTTGTAACAGGTTAGAGATCTTTGTGACAACAATTAGAAGAGATTTTCCATCAGCCTGTGTGCACAGCTAAGCCTTTATTAGCAGTTTAGGCTGTTGTGACTCATGGGTTCTCATTCAGGGGCCAGCAATATATAACCAAGGTTCATGTATCTTAGAGCCCTGAATTGTAGCCAAAACTGTGACAAATACTTGTTCCCCAAGTGTTTGTGTCTGTTGCCTGCAAAGACCTGCAGGGAGAGATATAAAAGTAACACATTGGTGCAAGTGAAGAACTTCACCTGGTGATGAAAATAGGCTGGAAGGTCTTGGAGGTTCAGGAGGGACATTCTTGTTTGGAAGCTAGGAGGATGCCTTCAAGAGAGAATCCCCTTGATTTGCTGTGCAGATATCCAGTGTCATCTAATGTGGAAGAGAACTTACAGCTGTAAGAGGTGACCCCCTTCCACAGGTATGTGAGACCATACCATGAAAGGTCCAGGTTAGCCCTGCTCTGGTAGAAATCACTGCAGCAACTGGGGAGGCTGCTCAGAATTGTGCCAGGTAAAGATTTGCTCCTCTGTGTTGGTTTTAAAGAGGTGAAATATTCCTGCTGGGATGTACTTATAGAATCCCAGCCTGCTTTGGGTTGGAAGGGAGTTTAAAGCTCATCCAGCTCCAACCCCTGCCACGGGCAGGGACACCTTCCACTAGAACAGCTTCCTCCAATCCCCTGTGTCCAACCTGACCTTGAACACTGCCAGGGATGGGGCAGCCACAGCTTCTCTGGGCACCCTGTGCCAGTGCCTCAGCACCTTCCCAGGGAAGAGCTTCTGCCTAAGAGCTCATCTCAGTCTCCCCTCTGGCAGGTTCAAGCCATTCTCCTTGGCCTGTCCCTACAGGCCCCTGTCCAAAGCCCTTCTCCATCTTTCTTGTAGCCCATTTAGCCACTGCTGCTTATCATGGTGCTTATGGTATGTTTAAGGAACCTTGCAAAATAAGAGACGAGAAAACTCACAAGGACAGATGAACCTAACCACTGGCCCTGAAATAGTGATACTCACTTTAAAATGTAAAGAATATTTCTACAAAGAAATATTCTGTTGATGGAGAATGGATCTTCGCTGAGTCTTCCGGTCCTGACACTCATCTGGTGGGGTAAGATTTTAATTCTCATCTTTAATCCTGTAAAGATTTAGTTGTTTTATTCTGAACCTTCATGTTATCAGGGACAGAAACCTGTAATTCACACTTTTTTTTCATGAGGGTGAGCAGCTTAACTTAGTGCCTAACTTAGACAACCGGAGTTGAGTGAGTTTGGTTTAGCAGAGCTCAATGGTCTCATCATGGTGTTGATTCCTCCTAATCGTATATTCTCTTAATAGTACTAAGGGAATAACATCTTCAGACCCAAATTTTGCTCATGGTCTCCTGGCATCACCTCCCCAAGGTTTCCAAGACTGTAATATTAAACTCTTCATGTCCTGAATGAGTTTTAGGGTCATGCAGCACCCCTTCCCTTCTCCTTCCTTAATTCCCAGCAAGTTAAAGGCTCTTTTTCCTTCATCTCAGTGAGTTTTCCAAAACCACCCAAAGAAAGCTACTGTGCTTTTAGTCTTATATGAGTTATAGCCAGAAGCTGCTTCCAAAATCAGTGCTGTCTTCAGAGAAACTTGATCACGGGAGATCAAGGGCAGAGCTGATGGCTTGGTCTGTGTCACATCAATCCCTCTCTGCTGCTGTAGCCATTGGTCTCATCAAACTGTAGGTACCACAATGGGATTGAGTGATATAAATGGATCTGCTCAGAGGTGTTTGGGGAAGCTGGGATGCTCTCACTTCAGAAGGGGCCTCCTCTTTCCTTGGGCTGTGTAAGAGGGCAAGCTTGGAGCAGATGGCCAGAGCAGTCCATTCCACTGTAGCTCCCTGGAAATGGATAGTGGGGATGCCATCGGTGCACAGGGTGCTAATTGTCAAGTTATCCCATTCCAGTTCAAATAAAGGCATGGTTTCCACTGTCCTGTATTTTCAAGACTTTTTTCCTTCCTTGCCAGATACAAAAGCCCTGAATGGCAGAGCAGAATCACACCTCAGCAGCAGAGTTCATCCTCAAGGGTCTCAGTGACCAAGCAGAGACGAAGGCAGCCCTTTTTGTGCTGTTGCTGCTCATCTACACCATCACCCTTCTGGACAATGCAGGGATAATTGTAGCCATCCGAGGTCACCCACAGCTCCACACATCCATGTACTTCTTCCTGGGCAGCCTCTCCATTGTTGACATCTGCTTCTCCTCTGTGGTAGCCCCCAGGACTTTGGTCAACTTCCTATTGGGGAAGAAGACCATTTCCTTTGCTGGCTGTATGGGTCAAGCTTTCTTCTACATCGTCTTTGTGACAACTGAGTGTTTTGTGCTGGCTGTCATGGCCTATGACCGGTACATGGCCTTCTGTAACCCCCTGCTCTACTCCTCTGTTATGACTCGGAGGTTATGTGTGGGGCTGGTGGTTGGGTGCTATATTGGGGGTGTCCTGAACTCCATCATTCGGATGACCTTCATCATCAGGCTGCCCTTCTGCAGCTCCAATGTCATCAACCACTTCTTCTGTGATGTTCCTCCTCTCCTGGCTTTGTCCTGTGCCAGCACGTACATCAATGAGATGATCCTCTTCTCCTTGGCTGGTGTCATTGAGCTCAGCACCATCTCTGCCATTCTGGTCTCCTACCTCTTCATCTTCTTTGCCATCCTGAGGGTCCGTAATGCTGAGAGCAGGAAAAAAGCCTTTTCCACCTGCATGTCCCACCTGATTGTGGTGACCATGTTGTATGGAACAACCATCTTCATGTATTTACGCCCTAGCTCTAGTTACTCCCTGAACACTGACAAAGTGGTCTCTGTTTTCTACACAGTGGTGATCCCCATGCTCAATCCCCTCATCTAGAGCTTGAGGAACAAAGAGATGAAGGATGCTCTGTGGAGAACTGCAGAAAGAATCATAGTCAGGCTTTGAAAACCCTGATCCAGGGATGTGGGTAACATGAGGATTTGTCCCAGAGGCTGTGGAGCCTCCACCCATGGACATGTTCAGAAGCTGCCTGAATGAGGCCAGGAGCAACCTGATGTGACCATGACTAGTCACTGATGTGACTATGACCAGCAGGACATAGTTATTGTGCAGAAAGGACATCTAGGAGGTCTCTGTTCCTATGACTTGCAAATTATACACATAAACACGTATGTATGTGTGTATATATATCAAAACACAATATTAAATGCATCCTAACCTATATATTTATATATAACACAATATATTCTTGTGTTAAATGTCAACACCAACACACACGATACTGATTTTTCTTGCCTCAGTTTAGTTGGGGTCTCAGTGATTTATGGGCTGGGTAGGGGAGGCAGCTCCTATGAAAAGCTTTTCCCAGGACGGATGGAAACCCAAGATCTAAATGGATGAACTGATGTTTTAATGCAGTTGTGGAGCAATGGGATATCGTGCATGAGTCAAGTGAGTGAAATGCAAATTCTTCATCGGGTTTGTGTTTGGAACCAGGCTGCTGAGTTAAATCACAGTCAAATTGGGCTTTGCCGCCTCTTTTCAGGCAGCTGTAGAACTTCACCCTTTCAGTTTTCCTCAAGTTCCGCCTTTCTCAACGCCTTTAAGACAAGCTCTAAGGAGTTTTCTAATTTATACCCACAGTAGTTTGTTAAAAACAAAGGCAAGAATGTTATCGGTAGAGCTTGCTGCAGGAGAGTTGCGCTTTGGTTTGAGGCAATGGGGATTAAAGAAACCCAAAGCAAACATGGAAACACACCAACACCCTGAAACAACAGGGAAATCGAAGGTAATGAAGAAACCCAACCCAAAGTCCTTATTTCCTATTCAAGAAGTCGTTCCTGGCACAAATTGCAGCCCCCCCCCCCCATATCCTGGTTGCTATAAAATCACAATGCCACCAGGGAAAACAGTCACCACAGGGCTTCCCCACACACCCAAAACTTCCCTATTTCTTTAGCAGCTCATCACTCAAAGGTGAGAGATGTCCCTGATCCAACTGTGTTAACAAGCTCCTCTGGGAATGGATTTGGAGCTGATGGGTTTTTAGGAAGGAGAAGGCTTGGCTGAGTCCTGGATGGAGATTTTCCACCTGTGGTCACTTGAGCTGAGGCATCTCCAGTGGGAAAAACACTCTTTAATCCAGGGGAAAATAACCCAAACAGGGATGTGACCCTGGCCAGCACTAAGATCTTTATTCTTTTTTTAAACTTTTTTCTTTATTTATACTTTATTCTTTATCGTTTGCATTTTATTTTTTATTATAGATATATTTATTATATATATTATATATATATTCTTATTCTTTACTCTTATTCTTTGTTCTTACTGTTTACTAAAGTTACCAGCCTGACGCTGACTCTTACTATTGCCAGCAGGACATGACAGTATCCACATATGCCTGCTCTTTAGATGCCCATTTCCCCTTCAAAGCTGTATTCATCTACTTCTGAACAAAATCCATTCCTTTTCCTCTGTGATTTTTGTTACTTCTTGATACCATTACTCTCTGTGGTCACCTCCAAGAGGTGCAAAATGGTCACAGGTGTCCCTCTAGGTATCAGAAGGCCAAAGAGTTGAAATAACTGTCTAGAAAATCATGGATCAGGATTTCTTATACAACACCACCATCTATTGGACGTTGCTGGGAATATCCACTCCTTTTTATTTTAGATAAAATCTTTTTTCTTACGTGCTGGGAGTGCTTTTTTTCTTACGTGCTTGTCTTACAAGCCAAGTGGCTTGTTCTTGCCCAGGAAACTGAGAAATAATAGATAAATAAACTAAGGCCATCATGTTGCCTCTACAGTTGGCTGATCCTATGTAGACAGTTTATTTCCTGACCCTGTTAAGGCAATGTCAGATAGTTTAACAGCTTCAAAGTCCTCTCACATTTAGAAATGATGCTTTAAACCCCACTTTTCCTAGTGCAGTTCTTGGCTGAGGCTTCAGGTTTTATGAAATGTAGATTATTGTAGAATCATAGAGTGGTTTGGGTTGGAAAGGACCTTGGTTCCAACCCCCTGCCATGGTCAGGGACACCGCACACTAGACCATGTCATCCAAGACCCTGTGTCCAACCTGACCTAGAACATTGCCAGGCATGGGGCAGCCACAGCTTCTCTGGGCACCCTGTGCCAGTGCCTCAGCACCCTCACAGGGAACAGCTTCTGCTTTACATCCAACCTGAACTCCCCCTGTTTCAGTTTGAACCCATCACTCCTTGTCTTGTCACTCCAGTCCCTGATGAAGAGTCCCTCTCCAGCATCCTTGTAGCCCCCTTCAGACACTGGAAGCTGCTCTGAGGTCTCCACGCAGCTTCTTTTCTCCAGGCTGAGCAGCCCCAATGTTCTCAGCCTGGCTCCATACAGGAGCTGCTTCAGCCCCTGATCATCCTCATGGCCTCCTCTGCACTTTATCCATGTCCTTCTGTTGCTGAGGATATCAAAATCACTCTGCCTTTTAAATGGTTTTTCTCTTAAATATTCTGTGCTACCCATACACAATTTGAAGTGCTAATTCATGGTGTTTTAATTGATACCTTTCTCCATCAGTTGTTTCCTCTAGATTCACAGATCCCTCTCAGAAAGTATCCCCATTGCACATCTTTACTCCTGACAAAGCCATTCCAGATTTTATAATGAAAGCAAACAAAAAAACCATCAGATCTCAAATCAGGTAAGGTCTCAACCTTTATCCCATGGAGGTGAAGGATTTAATTCCTTGTTGTTGATATACGTAAATCACACCCATCACCACCTAAATAATCCCAGGGGAGCAGCTGGGCTTATTTAGGTGCTCTCTGGTGCTGAATTGAATGGGTGAGGATGCCTATACAGTAACCAAGTTCCTGGGCTACTGGTAGATCCATCCTGGTAACCTGCATAGGGTAGGAAACCCACCTTTTGTTACAGAACATTAAGAGCTAGGCAGGAATAACCAGGGTCATTCCCTACTAGGGCTTTTGGGGAGTAAAGAGGTGACTTCTGTCCTTTCCTGGAAGGCCCTGCAGCCCCCTCTCATATTTGGTTGCACAGTAACGAAAGCATTTCTGATTGAAAAGTAAAGGCAGCTGCTTCAAAATGAAAAGGAAGTTGTGCTTTTATATTTTCATTCTAAGTAGCAGCATAAACTGAGATAAAGGAGAGCTGTATTTTCCCTACACTGAGGGTTGAACACATCTAAGAGTGCTTCACAAGAGGTAATCTTGTTTTTGAATACGAATATGAGACAGTACATACTGGTATGTACTAAAAAAACTACCTTTGGGGATGTTTGAAGGCTGGATAAAACTCTTAAAGGCAACGATTTTGGGCTTGTATTTTTCAAATAAGACCTTCTGGTGCCATTAATTTTAAAACCTGTTGGGTGTATCCTGACCTGGCTCTTGGGAGCCCTTTGGGCTGACCCTTGCCTGGTCTGACAGCTCCCTGGCAGTTAATGTGTAATCCCCTGACTTGTTTCACCCCTGGCTCTGTGAATACCACAAAGGACAAGGCTCTGGAAGGACGGGTAGATGCTGCATGGGGGAAGACAGAGCAGCATTACCCTTCTAGCTGGAGCCTGGAGAAGCTGGGAGTATTAAAACCCATTTCAAGTGGATCTGAGAGCAAAGAGGAAGAAATCCCTGATATGAAAACCCTGCTTTGTCCTGTGGCATCCACAGGATCCACAGGCCTTGTAGCAAACCTTAACACCTCTGCTTTATATCAGGGCAGCAGAAACCATCCCCTTGAGGAATCAGAGGGATGCTGGTGCTGTGAGCATGGGGCTCTTTTGCTTCATATTTTAAACGATCCTTTTCTTTTGATAGTTTGTGCTGTATGACTCTCAAAAGAACAGCTAACCAGTGCATTATAACTTTATATATCTGGCACCTTCCCCTTGTGCCTGTACTGAAATCTTGAGGATGACATCCACCATGATGGCTTTGGACTGCGTGAGGGGAGACTGAGATGAGCTCTTAGGCAGAAGCTCTTCCCTGTGAGGGTGCTGAGGTGCTGGCACAGGGTGCCCAGAGAAGCTGTGGCTGCCCCATCCCTGGCAGTGTTCAAGGCCAGGTTGGACACAGGGGCTTGGAGCAAGCTGCTCTAGTGGAAGGGGTCCCTGCCCGTGGCAGGGGCTGGTGCTGGATGAGCCTTAAGTTCCCTTCCAAAACAAACCTCTCTGGGATTCTATGGTTCTATGAGAACAAGCTCACTGCTACCTAACCAGGAGGTTCTGCTGCCAGGTTTTTCTTTGCTGTAGGATCTCAACAGCAGTCGGTTGTTCCCTTATCTATGTCAAGAGTTACATCTTGGATAACACTAGCAACAGTCTGCTTGGTGAGTCCTATTGCAGCTTGTTGAAAGCTTGGCCAAAAAGCAAGATGTTGCCAAATCAGAGTAGGAAAGCCACAAATGGAGCTCTTTTCCCCAGGAATACAGGGATAAATATTCAGTCAACTCTTCAGCAGAGTGTGGACCCACAACCTGCATGGATAATATCTAAACGAAGTGAGCAAGGTATGGGTTTTCAGATTAATTTATCTCCATTCCAGTGAGTGTGCGCAAGCTGCAGGGAGATGTGATTGCTGGGGGGAAGCTGTCGTGTATAGCACAAGCTGCACCCTTAGAAACATCCCAGGTTTCATATCTGCGCCTTGGATCACTTCAGACCAAGCACTTGCTTTGTCAAGCAAGAAAAAGCGAGGGTGAGTCTTTGTTAATTGTGAGCTTCAGGTCAATTGTCCCCTGGCAGGAGATGTGTGTGTCTGGGCAGGTGGATGCTGCCTCAGGGGGAGGATTGAGCCCCAGACCCAAACAGTTTGATTTTCATTACTTGGGTCACATCTTCCAGCTCCGTGGTGATGGCTCAGGAGCTGCTTTGCCTCCAGCATCTCTATGTGAGCAGTGAAAAGCAGCTCTAAATCCCCATTAATAACACCAGGAGACCACACACGTTGCTCACAGGACATCTGAAATGAGTCTGGCTCTGGAGGGGGAGCTCACCCCTTCAGCAAAAGGTCATCAAATAATGATGACTCTTTAGCATGGCTCTGCTTGTCAGATACCAGCCACGCGCACTCCTGCTTTGCTCTCTGCTGTAACTCTCTCAAGTGATGATTAATGTTAGGCAGGAAA